GCTCCTGCTCCTTGTACAGTGCTCTCTGGGGGCTTGGCCACAGCCCGCTTACCTGTATTCTTCAGGTCCTCAGAAACACTCCCCTCCCCCAACCTCACAATGCTTCTTTTTTCACTCACACCAAGGATCAAAGCTAAATTTTGCCAAGTACTCTTGTCTCCTGGGAACAACTATTCAACCACCGCGCCTCTGCCTCAGGAAGAGCACATTCACTGCACATTCTGTGTGTCTTGTGTCCTGTCTCATCCAACTGTGGAGTCCCCTCCCCACCACAAGGACTGTCTGAGGAGTACCCCCTTTTGCACAAGAGTGAACTGAGGTCCAGAAAGAACAAACATCTCCTTGGGTTTGCCTGTTCCATCTCTGCGTGACCCTTGAGGGCAAGGTCTATGTCACTTTCCTTCTCTGCTGGAAACACCTGTAGCCTCTCCAGCTAAATGCTGTCTATGATTCTGAAAATGGCCTGGGAGTCACACCTTCCCAGCATCCATCCCATAGAGCATCGGTCCAGTAGAGCATGACAGAGCACACTATTGATCTAAGATGCTTGTTAAGAGTAATACAGATTTGCTAATGCTCTCTCAAAGCACCCAATTCAATTTGTTTTCATTTTTTTTTAATTGAGATAATGCTGGTTTACGTCATTGTATTTTGGAAGTACAGGACCCCCCTCTTCTGGTGTTGCTATGTAGGGTACTTTCGCCAATCACCATAGTCCTTTGTGCTCCCTCCCTACTTTGTTTTCACTCTTCCCCCTCCCACACTGGATGCCTCACAGTCAGATTTCAAGGGCTGGTCTTAGCTTGGCTTTATCTGGCCATTTGGTTTCTCTAGACTCCACATATAAGTGACACCATCTGGTATTTTTCTTTTTCCTTCTGACTTATTTCACTTATCACAATCCTTTCCAGTGCCATCCACATTGTCACAATTGATGTGTCATTCTTTTTTGATTGCTGAGTAGTATTCAATGAGTAGTATATATATTATGTTCTTGATCCACCCATCTGATTTGGAACACTTAGGCTGTTTCCATTAGTTTGCTGTTATAAATAAGGCTGCAATGAATATGGGAGTGCAGTTTTCCCTGCAAATTAGTGTTTTTGCAGTCTTCACGTAGATACCTAGGAGTGGGATTCCTGACACATATCGTAGATCTATTTAGATTATTTTTGAGATACCTCTATACTGTTTTCCATAGGAACTGGGCCGGTCCACATTCCCCCCAGTAGTGGAAGAGGTTCCTTTCTGTCTGCATCCTCACCAGCACTGTTTCCCACCTTTTCGACAAGTGCCATTCTCACAGGTGTCTTAAGTTCTGTCTCATGGTTTTGATTGGCATTTCCCTGATAAGTGACAATGAATGTTTTTTTCACCTGACCGCTGGATTTCTGTATGTTCTTTGGAAAAGTGCTATTTCACACTTCTGCCCTTTTTTAAATTGGGTTGTTTCCTTTTTTTTGAGTTGTATAAATTCTTTGTAAATCTTTGATATCGGTTCTTTATCCGATGTGTAATATGTGAATATTTTCTCCCATTCAGCAGGGTGTTTTTTCATTTTAGTTTCTTTCATTATACAGAAGCTTTTTGTTTCACTGTAACCCCAATTGTTTCTATTCTCTTTTGTTTTCCTTGCTGTTGGAGGTGAGTACACAAAGACATCACTGGAGTCTGTGGCATGAAGTGTTTTGCCCATGTTTTCTTCTATGTATCCAAGTGTTATCCACTTTGAATTGATTTTTGTATATGGTATGAGGTTGTAGTGGCCTGATTCCTTTGCAAGTTGCTGTCATGTTTTCCCAGCACCATTTATTGAAGAGGCCAACCTTGTTCCAGTGTATATTCTTGGCTCTTTTGTCATAGATTAACCATCCACACAAGTGTGGATTTATTATTGGGGCCTTGTTCTATTCCATTGGTCTGTGTGTCTGTTTTCTTGGAGGATCCATTTTTAAGGTCATAGGGAAAGTCTGGAATCTGACTTTTATTAATTTATTAAAGATTTTATTTTTATATATTTATGCATACTAGAACTGGGTGTAGGCCAGAGGGGCAGGGAGTGAGAGGATTCACTAGAGACAGAGTGGGGAGCAGAACAAGTGGATCTACTGAAATACACTGGTGAAGGGAGCAGCGGGAGGGTCAGGAGAGGTCTACTGAGCCATGTGGGTCGGCTTCCTGCCTGGTGATCAAACTCATGCCACAGTGGCTGGTGATAGCTTCATAGTGCTGAGACTTTAACCCCTGTGCCACCAGGGAGGCCCTGGAATCGAAGACTTTTAGCAAGCTCATTAATAATTCTTATGATCATGCATAGGGGAAATGCTGTTCTATCACGTTGTTTGTTTCCTTTGGATGGATTTAGACTACCTGGCCTGTATACTGTGACATGTCCTCACTGAAAATTGATAGCTGAGATCTGGAAAGTGGAGAGTTGCTTGTGGAAGGACTACAAAGCAGGCATCGGGTGATGCAGACAGTGGGCACTGAAACTTTCAAAGTTTGAGTTTTAAGTAATTTCACTTTTAGGAGTTCAACCTAAGGGACTAGCTACAGTTATACACAAAGCACTCCTGTGTCGAAGATGGAGAAAGGATGTCCAAGTCAGCCTGTGCAGTCAGCACGAAGCCTAGTCTTGCAGGGCAGGCCGGGCTAAGGGCTGAGAGGGAACCCTGTGGCAGGCCTCCTTCCTTCCCCTTCTCCCTGATCATGCCTCCGCCCAGATGGCCTGAAAGCTAACTCTGCCTAGGACCCTGAGGCTCACCCTGGCCTTGGCATTTGCTTATGCAAAAAGCCTTCCACAGAGGGAGGGTGTGGCTGATGTGAGAGCTGTTGATCTGGGAGACCCGCTCAGTTTGGCATTTGCTGTTAAGGTGGTATCTAGATCCTCTTGCTGACTTTTGACTTGCTGATTCTGGTCCTAGGAGGTCCCCTGGCTGAAGGAAGCCTCCTGCCTAACGGTCTAAATGTGGAACAAACAGGAGCTGGGGAGTGGAAGGTGGGGAGTAGCCCTAGCCTCTGACTCCAAGGCCTGGACTATTTATTTGCTTTTGTTGGCTCTGTTTTTTCTCCTGCACCACATAGGCTCCCCCCACTTTATAAAAAAAGATTTATTTTTATTTATTTATACACATAAGAAGTGGGGTACAGACTAGAGGTGTGTGTGGGGGGGTGGTGGTGAAAGGATTCACCAGAGACAGAGGGCGAGTGAAACAGGTAGATTGAAATACACTGCTGAGGGAGCAGCAGGTGAGACAGGAGAGGTCTGCTGTGCCATGTGGGTCAGCTCCCTGGTAGGGGATCGAACTCATGCAGCAGTGGCTGGTGATAGCTTGATAACACTGAGACTTTTAAGTCCTGTGCCACCAGAGAGGACACCAGCTGCCTTTTAAGACACCTCAATGATTTTCATAGTTTCTTAGGGCATTTTTGCCTGCTCCAACTCTTGAAGAGCTTTCTTCCCAGTGTCCCCAGACCAACAACCTCCAAAGATGCAAGCACAGGGCTTCATTTCTCCTTTGTGATAACAGCCAGGTCACCATCAAATAATAAACACTGTACCCTAGAAAGTTCTCAACAGTCACCATCTTGACCTGTTTCCTCATTCCTCAGTTTAAACAGAGTCAGACATCAGCTCTTTATCCCAACATTTCTCAGAGGTCACAGTTCCATAAGTGACCCAGGTAACAGAGACCCTGGATGTCACTGACCCCCTTAAGGTCAGGACCCATCCTAAATGAGGCACAGGCTACTCAGTGGTTAGTGCACAGGCTCTGGGTCGAGCAGGCCTTAGGTAGTACCCTCCCCCTAACACTTAAGCTTGTGTGACCTTGGAAAAATCACTCAATTTTTCAGGCCCCCAGTGAAAATATGGACTCAACTACTTTGAAGTCTTAACACCTTATTTTTGAAGCTTAGAGATAGGATCTTTCAGGAAATCTCTAAATGAGGTATAAGGGTAAGGGTCCTGATTCTGTGGGACTGGTGTCCTTAAGGAAGAGACATCACAGATCTCTCTCCACCCTTGCACAGAAGATATGAAGCTGTTCAAGCTGACTGTCTGTAAGCCAGGAAGAGAGCTAGGTCAGAATCCGGCTATGGCAACTGCTCAATCTTGCACTTTTAGTCTCCAGGACGGTGAAAAAAATAATTTTCTGTTGCTTAAGCTGAGTCTGTGGTGTTTTATGATGGAAATTAATGAATATAGTCAATTTCCTCATCTGAAATGCAGGGTTAAAGCTAGTACAGGGTTCCACCACTATACAAAAGTAGTGTTCCTATCAAGGCATTTAAGGATAGAAAATGAGCTCTATCCTTTTTTTCACCATAAAAATCCTTTTTGGTTTTCTTTAAGTTAGCAAACACAAGTACTAATAATGTAAGTCTTTCATAAAAACAAAGTAGCTAGATGAACATACAAAGAGTGGGGGATAAGAGAGAAGGCCACTGTCAGAACCAGTGAGGCAAGACTCAGGCAATGCCTGCCTGTTTAAATTTCCTACAGCCTTAGCACCTGGAAGTGTACCTGGCATATAGTAGATATTCGATATATTCTTGCTGAATGAATAAATATATCCATCATAAAAAGAACTGTCAAAGCAATTTCTGAACTTTCATTAACTGATCACCACTCACCTGCAAATGACAGCAAGCGGAAAAGGTTCAAGAAGTGTCTGCAAGGACAGTCCCCTGTTTTTAATTGCATCTGCCCATTAATTAATGTCATGTCTTCTGTGAATTGGCAAAGGACTTGATCTAGCTGGTCCTGAGGTTACTTTGAGTCCTTGGGAAGAGGGGACATGGATCAGATTGCTAAGGAGGATCTAGTTTTTCGGGCCTGGATGTGTGGAGAGAGCTCTTCTTTCTGGAAGGAAGGGAGGAACCAAAGGGATTAGAGACCAAAACTGTGGAGGCAGTGTTGGGGGATCTGGGATCAGACTCCGGAAGTGGTTAGAGTGAAGCTGGTCTGGGGGTGGAGGCCACTTGCTTGAGAGATGCAAATGACGGGCACAATAGGGCCCCTGTCCCCAGGTTATTTGTGGCAGAGCCTGGGCTCCAGGACACAAAGCTCTGTCACTGTGGTCATGGTAAGAGCTGGGTCTGGGGCAGCCCCAGGTGTTCAGAATTGCGCATTCCTGGGGGCTCAGACTGGGGGCTGGGGGGGGGGCACAGGCCGAGGAGAAGCTGCTTGCATTGACCTTCCTCTCAATCTCTTCCAGGACAAACACAGTGGAAGCAAGCCCAGGTGAGTACTTTCCTTCAGCATCCCTCTCTTCCCTCCCCCTTCCTCACTCCTGACCTGGGCAGTCATCACAGGAGCTACACTCCCAGAGGCCAAGTCCTCCTCGCCCACCCGGTGCAACAAGTGACCATGCCCGTACTTCCACCTCTTATCCCACCACTGGCTGCCCTGGCCCCAGCCTGTCTCACAACTTCAGGGGGTGCCGCTCACACTGTTGTGGATGTGGACATCCTGGAGCTGGCTGACACAAGCTGAGGGCCCCTTGGGCAGAGCTGACTAGAGTCTGGTTGCAGGTTGGGGCCACCACCCGTTCCACCCCCCAGACATGTAGGTAAGTGACACATTGGGAATGGGGCACCCAACTGACTGGGGTTCCTTGTAAGTTGAGTCTCCCCTGAGTGATTCTGGATACCTCCTACCCGTCGAAGTTCAGCTCTGCTAAGTCACTTGGGCTTGGGTCTTCCACCTGTCTTAGTCAGAATTAGGGGTCCAGGGGTGGGAGACTAAGTGAAACCGGCAACTACCTGGAAGATTCCACTGTTTCCAAAATGTCTACCCCACTGGCCCTGTTTAGAAATGTTAAGCATTTTAATGTTGGAAATGCCCATTGTGAATGTTTCCTGTGAGGTGAATGAAGCATTGAGTCCCAATATATAAGCGCAGATGGTTTAGTATCTAGGGGAGAGGGGTGGGGGGTGGTAGAAGTGGACTAAGCTGGGAGGAAATGAGGCCAGTCTCTTCAAGTCTCTTGTTCAGACTCTCCAGCTTGGGAGGATGGTGCCCCCCACTCCTCTCCTCTGCCTGGCCAGAAGTCCTGGCGACAAAAGGTAAGTTGCTGCTGAGCCTGGGCAAGGAGAGGCAGCCGCCACTACCCCACTAGTCAGTCCCACATTCTTCATATTCCTTGTACTCAGCACCTCTTCCAGAAGGACCAGGAGGAGGGAGAAGCTAATGAGGATGAATATGAACTGCCCCCCTGCGAGGCCCAGCCCATCTCTCTAGCTCCTGCCCACCTTTCCCGCACTGAGAAGGATTCTTTGTATTTGGGTGAGAGCAGGAGGGCCCCCACAAGAGAAGGAGGCACAGGCCTTACATCTTCTATCTCCCTGCATTGGGGCCGGGACCGGAGGCCTAAGCTGGCATTGATGAGGCTTCTAGACTGGGGAGACAGAGAGAATAAAGGAGGGAGGGAGAGAGGAGATGGGGGAAGGAGGAGCAGAGAATAGGAGAAAGAGTGGGAAGGGGAGAGGAGCCGGAAAGGACTGTAACCAGGGCAACAGCAGGAAAACTGGTGGCCCCCACAAGGTCCCTAGGGCCTGGCTGCCCACTCGGAGATCCCAGCCCCTGTCAGAGGAAGAGAGGGGCTGCCGCAGGCCTCCCACCGCCACGCTCCGGTTTCGGCCAGGTGGGGGCAGGGAAGCTGGCTGCCTCCAGTTGCCATGGAGACCGGGCTGTCGGGAAGCCGGGGCGGGGAGGAGGGCGAGGGAGGGAGGGAGGAGGAAATCGAGGCTAGGTGGGGGGCGGGAGGAAATGATAACCTACGTGGGAGACACCCACCGACCCACATGTTGGGGTTCTTTGTAGATCTCCCTGGCCCTCTGGGCCCAACCTGGCCACCACCACCACCACAACCCTCAACGGTGAGCAGCCTCCCCATGAGTCCCTCCTTCCCTACCTGCTTCTGCCCCAGGCCACCATTTCCCAGTGAGTAAATCTAAAAGAGACCTCATTAGCAAGAACGTCTCCCCCGACCCCCCCAACCCATCTGCAGCCCAAAGACCGCTAAAAAATTACCTGCGTCAGAGGGTGGAACCCTGCCATCAGCTCCTCCCACCTGCTGACCCGGTCCTCCCCCCACCCCGGCAGCATCACCCCAGCCTCCTGGGTGGGGGCTTGGGGGTGGGGCACAGGCTGCGCTGCCCCTCCCTGGACCCTGGGCGGAGGACCCCTCTCTGCCCCTCAGCTGTTAGCCGCTGTCAGCTCTCATCCTGGCAGTGATCCCGCTATGGGCTTGGAAAGTTACCACTTTGGTCTTATATTTTATTACGATGTAATGAGAAACAGTGAGAGAACACAACAAAGGAAGAGTCACAGAATGGAGGCCGCGGCAGAGTTGCTAGCTTTGCTCTTGAACTCTAGTGGTTTAGTGGGGTGTTGTGTTTTTGTTTTATGTGTGTGAAGCTGCATAGATATAAGTAGAGCCATCGCCTCCCTCCCCCACCATCTTTGCCCTCCTGCTCCCTCACTTCTCCCTCCACAACCACTACACCCCCTTCTTGGTTTCCCTCACCGCCCCATTGTGCCGACAGAAGAAGACAAGGCAGCAAAGCCTGAGGGAGCATGTGAAGCCTGGACAACCCTCTGGGAGGCAAGGTGATGGGATGCTCTATCTCTAAGGCCCACTCACTCTGCCTCAAGTGCACCCCCTCCTTGGCCTGAGACGGGGAATCCCAGCAGCTGAGGGTGGTGTTGAGTATATCTCTCCTTGCTCTCAAACTTTCCCCTGTCACTCACTCTCCCAGCTCTTGCTCATTTTTATCTAGATTTTACTCAACCTTCCTAAGGCAGGGAGAAGGAGAATGAAGCCCTGAGACATGCAGTGCTTTGCCTGAGATCACACAGAAGCAGAATCCCTAACACCCAGGTCCCTTCTGCATGAGCTGTGATCAGGCGAGGGACGCCCAGGACGGGCAGGTCTGAAGGGCCACCTGGTCTCCCTGGAGGACCATCACTACCAAAACATTTCCGAGTGTCATCCCCAGTCGAAGGGGACCTTTTGGACCTCTGAATCCACCCATGTTATTTTTGCCACCACTGTCCACAGACTTCCTCCATGCTAAGTGCAGTGAGGCCTGTGACCCTATAACCAAGGATGTTGGAACAGAAAGGAACCTTGGGCAGCATATTTTTGTATGAAGTAGCCCTAGAAGGGGGAGCTTCTCCCGGTCCCCAAAGAGTCCAAGGTCAAAAACTAACTTGAGGCACATTGAGTTTTACTATGCTCAGTGGTTGGTAAACTTCATGACCTTGAGGGTGGTTTTGAGTTTTGGAACAGACCAAAGTCATTTGGAGCCATGCCTGGCAAATCAATCATGAGGTCAAGCCAGGCAACAGCACTGGGGTTGTGAAGTAGGCTGACTAGGGATGAAGGAGGATGCCTTTTTCTAGCTAGATGGCTCCCTTCAGATAACTTCCAAGGATGTGCCACTCTTCCAGCCTAAGTGTCACTGATTCTGTTATAGTGTACCCCAAATCTGTTCCAGAACAGGGGAAGAGGGACACCCCTGAAGCCCCCAAATCCTGCCTGCTCTAAGTGGGTTCTGCCATCTGTCACAAGAAGACAAAACATATATAAAACTTTAATGAAAAGGGACTTTAATACAGTGAATATACACTACGGAACACAAAGAATATAACTTCTAAATCAAACACCTGAAGTTACCCATCCCCTCGTTGGCAACAGTCAACCCAAAAGGAATAAGCCCAAATCAAGGCCTGAAAGCCACCACAAGACTAAAGCACCTTCTGGCTGGGACCCATGGAAAAGGGTCAGAAATGGCCAGACAAATCTGGGAAGAAAATAGCAAAATCAAAATCAGTATAAACACTGCCATAGTCACCTCCCTACAGGCATCTCACCCACATCTGCCTTAACCAGTCCAGGGTCAGGAAACAAGCACGGTTTCTTCATCACATGCTTGCTGCTCCATGTGGCTTCCTCAGGTCTCCTTCTGGCTCTCCATCCAGCTTCCTTCTCTTCTTCTCTCTTCTCCTTTTTCTCGGCTTCCTCAGGTCTCCTTCTGGCTCTCCATCCAGCTTCCTTCTCTTCTTCTCTCTTCTCCTTTTTTTCTTCTCAGCTCCACCCTCCTGCCCCTGGGTGGGGCAGGGAACCTGGAACTTCCCTTTTTCCTAGGGACCACCCTGTTACAATTCCTTTCTCACTACACTCATGACTGGTGGTTCTCTTTTTCCTTGTAGAACTGGGTGCACCAGCCAAAGCGGTGAGTAGCCCTTCGTTCCTCACCTCACTCTAGGGCTCTGGTTAGGAAGTTGGTCTGGTTGTCATGTAGGGCATTGTGGGAAGGGAAGGAAATAACCCTGAAACCAAGAAGAAAGGCCTAAAGCAGATCCCTGCCTCCTCTGCCCACCACAGGCCCCTGGCAGAGTATAAGCCAGTTGTCCTCCCAGGGTGCCACCTACAGCTCCTCCTAGATACCCACATTCTCTGAGAGCTGGGTCCCATAGGCAGCCCTGAAGGGGAAGGTGCTCATGGGGTGCCACTCTCAGGCCAAAGAACAGTTTTCATCCCTCCAGCCAGCTCCCAGAAAGAGGTCTGCGTTATGAAGGGGCGGTGAGCTACCCATAGCTCCCCTGCCCCCAAGTGGTGGCCGCATTAGCCCTCTGACTCACTGGTCAAACCCTTGGACCCACATACCTGGCTCCCCTTTAGGTGCCAGACTCTCCAGAGAAACCCACTGAGGATATCTATCTGGAATGTGAGCCCAGTCCAGGTAACAACCCCACCCTCCACCCCCAATCCATCCTGCCCTAAGGCCCTCAGCTACTGTAATCTGACTTACTTTCCTGGCACCATCCACTTCCCTTGTCTTCACTCCACTCTCACCAACACATATGTACCTTCAGATACACCATGGATACCTGCATTTCCACTCTGGTCCAGGTTAGTCCACACTGTGCCCACAAGGGGGTTAATCCCTTAGCCAAGGGCTCTGTGGACTTCCCAGCTGGTTGGATGGACTCCTGAAGCCCAAGCTGCAGAGAATTAGCAGACCCTGCACCTGTCTTCAGTCTCTCAGGCCTGCATGCCTTCTTTTGCCTGTACCTAGCCCAGCCTGCCCTCTCTGTTTTAGTCCCAGTGTTGACTCGGACTCCAAGTTCCCCAGGTCTGGTACCACCAGCCATTGTGCCAAGGACATCAATAATGCCCAGGTGAGTGCCTCAGAAATGGTGTGTGTGTGAGAGAGAGAGAGAGCACATGAGCGTGAGCACACATGCCTGCCAGCACCAACTCAGGCTTTTTCAGCCCTGATCCTAGGAGAAGAGAAGGGGAGTAAACACCTTAAGTTCTGTTCTCCATTTTGTTCCCCACAGGGCCACCCTACGACCCCAAGAAGACAGAAATGTAAGGGGGCGGTGGCCGGGAGAAGTTTGCGGGGAAGGGAGGAGGGGAAAAAGGGAGAAAGAGATAGGGAAGAAGGGACTTAAAGCTTAGGGGAGAGGCCTGCAGGCCCAAGTCTTTTCTGACCAGCCCTCCTGTGTCCCAGGGAACAGCGCAAACCACCTCAAAAGGTGAGTACAGGCCTCTTCAACATGAACCCAGGCGATCATACCGGGGCCCACCCCACGCACAGCCCTGAAAAACCACAGACTCCCACCCAGTCTCTCAGGCCCCAGTTTGCTGTGGGGAGCCTCCAGTGCTGACTTCAGCTAAAAGCAGGCCTGAAGGGACCCCTTTGGGCATTTTCTAGGGTTTTCATTAAAGCGGGGATCTCTCAAGCAACATTTCAAGAGAATTCCCTATATGGAGGTCATGCGTGACCTAGCTGGTGAGTCCTAGATCCGGAGAGGAGAAAGCATTGGGTACCACATTTTGGGCTTCAGGCCTCAGGCACCCTCTGTGCCCTCTGAACCCCCACAGCTGGGCTGGAGACCTCCTCTGCCTAATTCCCTCCAGTGCTAGCTCTCTAATCTGCTTCTTCCAGCAGGAATGAGATCCTCTCTTTCCTCTATAGCCTCCACCTGGAGCACCTCAGCTGCTGCGGTGAGGAGGGCTGGGAGACGACTGTGGGAGGAGGCTGTGGTTTCCTTTTAGGGGTGCCCACCACTGCAGGGGACAGCAGGTGTGGTTTCAAAATCTAGGCATGGGTGCATCTTTGATCGGCTTCTGAGGCTTCAGTCTGGGAAGGCAGATATGAACAACAAGTACTTGGGGGGCCTCCGCTCCCTGCCCGCACGCAAGGGCAGATCTCTGAGTGGCTGTTGTCTCCACAGGATGACGGCCTGCTGCGTCAGCTGTGGTACGCTGGGAACTGTGACCGTCATGCTGCCGAGAGTGCACTGCTACGATTCCAAAAGGTGGGCAACGGTAGACCCTTGGGCCCTCTCGGAAACCATTTCTGCTCGTGTGTGGGCTGGGGGAGCACGGGGAACAGGAGCAGCAGGCCAAATGTGTCGTCAGAGCTGCCAGGTGGTCTCTTGAAAGATGAACTTGACTCTTGGGGTTTCCTTCCCAGGATGGGGCCTACACTGTGCGCCCTAGCTCAGAGCCTCACGGCTCCCAGCCCCTCACCCTGGCAGTGCTTCTCCATGGCCGGGTCTTCAACGTTCCCATCCGGAGGCTGGATGGTGGGCGCCATTATGCTCTGGGCCGGGAGGGCAGGAACCGCGAAGAGGTGGGTTCTAGGGGATGTAGGCACCTGAAGGGTAGTGAGGGTGCAGCACAGCTGTACCTGGGGTGGAGCCAGGAGCACTTACTGAGGGGAGAATCCAGACTGTGCTTTTCTGGAGGGGGTGGAAGTGGCAGGAGTCAGCATCCTGAGCTCCTTCAGAAGCCTGCCCTTTGGGAGTCCGCTCTGGGGAGTACCCCTCCTGCATGGCTCAGGCTGAAGGACCCAGGTGGGGGCACCTGAACTGTAATGAAGCCATTTGGGAGGATCGTGAGGGCCAGGTAGAAAAGACTGCTGTCTGTACCAAGGACAGAAGACAAACTAGTCACCCACGCTCAGCACCGAAGCTGGAGACCAGAGCAGAGGCACAGCCCCAGGGTTATTTCCTCTGGCCTTGGAAATACGAAGCTGGCCCATGGCTATAGTCACAGCAAAATCACAGGAGGGCCAGAGTCTGGCAGGGGAGCTTCATGAGGCAAAAGGAAAGAATACATTTAGAAGAATCGATGACCTCCTCCTTGCCAGAGCCCTAGGAAGCTTCTTCCTGCATAAGGCTCAGGAGGGTCACTGATCCCCCGTCTCCCTGTCCAGCTGTTCTCTTCAGTGGCCGCCATGATTGAGCACTACACACAGCACCCGCTGCCCCTGGTGGACAGACACAGTGGCAGCTTGCAGTTCACCTGCCTGCTCTTCCCCACTAAGCCCTGACAACACAGTGGATGTGCACAGCTGCTTCTGACTCCATAGTTTGCTCCTTGGGCTGTCTCCTCCTTTCCTCTGCCAGGTGTTTGCCCTTCCAGTCCTTCTCCACGCCCTGCCCCAGTCCCCACAGGCCCTTGTGGAGGCATTAGTATGAATTGCCCAGAGACAGAACCCGTCCCCAAGAAGCCCTCCCTGGTGGCACAACAGGTTAAAGTGCAGCACTATGAAGCTGTCTGAAGCCACTGCAGCATGAGTTCAATCCCTGGCCAGGGACTTGATCCTGACCCACATGGCACAGCAGACCTCTCCTGTCTCCCCCCCTGCTCCCCTCAGCAGTGTGTTTCAGTCAGTTTGCCTGTGCGGCTCGTCACTCTGTCTCTGGTGAAGTTTCTCACTCCCCTGCACCTTTGGCCTCTACTCTGAGTGCTTGTATCATAAATAAATAAATCTTTAAAAAAAAGAAAGAAAGAAATGGTCCCCCAAGACCCCATCCCAGGTTCACCCAGAGCCTGGGTGGACGCAGGCCGTGCTGCGTCTCCAGGCAGTTCCCCAAACGCAGGCCCCAGGAAAGACTGCACCTGCCCTGTTGGCTAGCGCAGCCTTCCAAGCCGCTCTGGAGGAAACCTGGTGGTGGCCCGGAGAGTCAGCCTCCTCAAGGCCACTGAGCGGGAGCTATGGCATCATCGGCACTACCTGCACACACAGAGAATGCATTGTCTTAGGGGCTTAAAACTATTGGCATCTGGGGGGGGACTTGGTCACCCTGCACCTACATCACTTTCTGGACTCAACAGTAAGAAGCAGTGGCCTGTGCGTAGCTCCAAGGTTCTCAAGTATCCCAGGGCACAGACTGAGCTGAAGTGCAGGCAGAGGTGTCTAGGCCTGGACTGGAAGTCTGGCTTCATTCCTGCCCCCTGACTGAGCCTTTTGCCCTGAGAGGGCCCCAGGAAGCCAGCCCCAGCTGGTCTGGTTTGGTTTTCTTTGTGGGTGTCCTGGCCAGGAGGGCGCAGTGCTGTCTGTGCTACCCAGTAAATGATGAAAATGAAGTTAATTAAGCGCTAATCTACCGCCAATTTACCTTACAGTGTTGCACCTGGGTGGGAGGATCCTGACTGAGCACTTGGGGATGTGTAGTGTAGGGAAGTCGGTGAACCCCAGAAAACTGAGCGGATACTGGATGCACCAGTCCTAGGATCAAAAGCTAAGGAAGGCTCAGTGGTGGCGATGAAGACAAGAAACAGATTGGCCCCACAGGGGCGTAGCCTGAGAGGCGGGCCAAGGACCCAGGCCTGGGGCTCCCTGAAGGCCGGTGCTGGGGGCAGGGGGCGGGGGAGCAGGAGATCCGGGAAGCCGTAATGTGACCGGCTGGGCCAGGGGGAGGGGGGGCGGAGCATCCCCCCTGCCGGCACCCCCCCCACCCTGGCTAGGTGCCCGGAACACCCCGTGCCGGAAGCACCATGTGACCGTGACTCCGCAGAAGCTGTGAGCTCCCCAGAAACAAAGGGCTGTTCTGCGAGCTCCCAGAGCTCGGCCTGGCACAGACCGCCCGGACCCAACCCCAGCCGGGCTCTGGCTCTGCGCCGGCCATCCGCCCCCAGACCCTGGTGGGGCTGGAACTTGCAGAGCCTCGTGCTGGAGCTTTGGGGGCGAGAGGAGCGTTGGGGAGGGGAGGGGAAAAGCCAGGCCCCTGGGACATCAAAATGCAAGCTCCAGGCCTGGTGATTTCGGGTGCAGGCTGGCTGGGAGCTGGTTGACTCGTCACCGTCACTGTCACCGTCACCGCTGGCTGTCACTGCTGGCTGGCGGGGAGAGTGACTTTCTCCAAACCGTAATTACTGTAGTAGAGGCAAAGATTATCGTCCTCTTCCAATTAGCTGGGAGTTGGGAAACTTGAGTGGGGCATTCCCTGAAATGCAGGGCCCGAGGGCACTGTCTAGCTCCTCTCTTCCAAATGAACATGCAAGGGAATGGCCCTTTTCATACCACAGAGGATTGTGGCCAGGGCACCAGGAAGAGGCAGCAGGATGGGTTCAGCTGGCATGGGTAGGTAAGGGTGCGTGCTGCTATGTGGGAAAAGGATGAGCAGCTGTGGGCTCTAGCAGAAACTGGGGTGTAGGAGACCCCAAATAACCTCCCTCAGCTCTGTTGGTCTGGCTCCCTTTAGGCCCTGGATGGGAGTGGCCCTTTTCCACATTCAGGACTGGAGGTGGGGAACCCTTCTTGGGTTGGACCTTAGAATACAAGCATATTCCTGCATGTGCTACCAGACTGACATCCTGTGGACCCCTCCACCCTGGCCAACAAAGCCCCTAGGGCCCTTTTAGGAGTGCTGAATTCACCTAACCCTAGCCTGGGGTGGAGGGCTTGGGGATGGTGGTGTAGAGGCCTGTAGCACAGTAGTCTTTAGGTAATGGCCTAGTAGGGACTCTACTTGGTACCAGCTGGGAACAAACTTCAAGGAACTAACATCTGTTCCTTCCCACTCTAGGGGAAAATGAACAGAGGATCAGAGCTAACCACAGGGCTGATCAGTGAAAAGTGACCCAAGGCCAAAAAGAACTTAGTCTGGGGAGCAGTTCAGCATGGGGATGCATCCTCATTCTGCAGGTTAGGGCTTCGGTGGTCTCCATTTCAGGAGGCCTTCGCTGCTTCCCCAGCTTGGGATAGGCCCCAGCCACTGCCTGTTCATTACAGGAAAGGAACAACGATGGCTACTGTCCACTGTTGTGTATGTAGGGACTAGAATACAGTAGGTACCAAGTGTCGTGGAGAGAGGCACTGAGTAGGTTGCATCTACCCTGGATTCCTCTAAATCTGATAACATTCCTTGACCAGGGCTTCCTTTGTAAGAGAAAAGTCCCACCCAGTGCTGTCTAGAACTTCCACTGACAGCTGGAATATTCTGCAGCTGCACTGTCCATTCCTATAGCCGCTAGTCACAAGGTTATCGAACACTCACAATGTGACTAGTATGACTGAGGAGTAGGATTTTTTTTGATAATTGATTTAAATAGCCACATATGGTTCATACCTATCCTATCATCCCAAGTTTCTTGCCATTTGAGTATGAGGGGCAAGGTGAGAAAGCTAGAGGTGGAGGAGCCTGGAAAGCTGCCATTATGTGTGTGGGGCCAAGGGGCCCTCTTGACCTTGTGAGCAGGAGTTAGTATCAAAGGGCGGTATCTTCTCAATGGAAGGATCACCTAGCAGGGCCGGAGAGCAGCACTGAAGCCCCTCGGGAGAACAGTTAGGGGCTGCAGGTACTGCCAAAATTCAGGTGAGAGATGACATCCTTTGGCTTTTGCACCATGCCAGTGCCCCTCTAAGCAGCCTTCCTTATCTTCACAGAATCTATACCCCAGACCCCTTCTTAAGTGCCAAAGATGTGAGAGATATCAGCCACCCACCTCTCCTCCCCCACCTCCTTCTCTCCCCCCCCCCCACCTACCTTGTCTGCTCAGCACCCAGTGTGTCCTCTCCTCCTTCCTTAAGCAGGCCAAACATTAGAAATTCCAGGCAGGATTCCAACTGGGGGATCAAACCTTGGAGAAATGTCATTTGCTGAAGCAGCCTACAAATGACAGCATGATTTGCTTGTCTCCACTGCCCTGGAAGGGTCTGTGGGACATGGGGGCAAAGGGAGTGTGCAGCCGGAAGGCCATGAGAGCTGTGGGTATGCCCCAAGCTGAACTGCACCCGCTGGGGCTCAAAGTGTGCCCTATAAACCATTGGTGAGCTTGGCTTCTAAAGAGGCGGCCTGACCGTGGGTGAAAATACGGGCTTGGAGACCCAAGGGCCCAAGTTTGGATTTGGCTCAGTCACTAACTCCCTGGGTGACATTAACTTCCACCTCTTCACTTTTAAAACGGGGTTGATAATACCTATTGTCAGAGTGGTTGTGAGCGGGAGCAATGACATATATCATCTGCTAACCCTGACACAGGACCTGGCCTCCAGTGGAGCAAAATGATTGGTAGCGAATAGGAACCCTAATTATGAGTAGGCCAAACCCTATTCTGTTCTTACCTGTGTGCTCTGTTTTCAGGGGCTCTTCCCCAACACGCCTTCACAAGCACATGTAACGTTTAGATGTAGTACATACATGATTATTATTTTGTATGCCTACCTGACTTTCCCATCCCCTTCCTCCTGGGATCATTGCCCATTCTGTGACCGTAAGACCAGACATGGGCCCTAGGTCTGGCTAGGACCAAAGTAGGGCCCAGCCAGCCTCCTCTGAGTTGGGCATATTGATGCTGAGAGCTAAAAGCTCTCTTTCTAAATATGAGCTTGGGTTGCAAATTGACCACCTTTCTTCCCTGTCTACAGAAGTCAAACAAAGACAAGGAAAGAGGAAACAGTGTTGGAGACACTGGGTCCTTTGAGGCACCATCTCCTAGCTGTGTGAGCTGTCAGTTTTCTTTTTGATTTCACTTGGTGGGAGTATGACTTCTGAGATTTGTAATGAAGACTCTGTGTGCTGCAGACACTGTGTCCTTGAAGTTCAGGGATGCCAAGTTTTTTTTCTGAAGAAAAGAGCAGTTAGTGGTACAACTAGAATTCAGACTTGCCTGATTGACTCTGAATTCTCCATAAACTACACCCCACATTCTAGTTATTCATTCACTTGCATTCAGTGAACACATTCTATGTGCCAGGCACTAGACTAGTATCCCATTCCTCCTGCATACCTAAGGTCACCCCCATGCTCAGCACCTCTAATCAGGCCACATAAAATAGTCCTTCTCTATCAAGAGGACTGACATGCTCACTATCTTCACAGAATCTATACCCCAGACCCCTTAAGTGCCAAAGATGTGAGAGATATCAGCCACCCACCTCTCCTCCCCCACCTCCTTCTCTCCCCCCCCCCAACTACCTTGTCTGCTCAGCACCCAGTGTGTCCTCTCCTCAGTTCAGGGTCCCCTAGCAGAGCTCCTTCCTGCACCCCACTCTCCGCAACTGTGGTCTTGTTGCCCTTAGACTACAGTCACCATTTGTGGAAATACTGAGTTGTTATAAGTGCTTTTATCTAGTCTCCCAGAAGTTCCCTTTCTCTACTTTGCAAATCTGGTTGAGGAACAGAGAACCTTCAGGTCCTCAAAGTTTCCAAACTGCCTCTCAAAGAACCCATGGACTGTGGTGATGACATTACCAGTTTACTGACAAAAAAAAAAAAAAAAAAGGGAGGAAACCCACAGAAGGAATTTTTTCTGAAGCAACATCATTCCTCTA